CCGGGCGAGACCAGCTTTGTGGCATGTGTGATTGGCTGTTCGAGAGGCCGCCTTCAGTGCAGGCGCATGCTTGCCTATATGGAGTGAGTCACTACATATTCACCAGTATTACGACATAGTTTGCAACGGGCTTTTGACATTCTTTCACGCGCCCACCTCTCCCATATTACCAACCACTTAATTGAATTTCAGGGCACCGCAAGACCTCTTTCTACTTTTTCATCAACAGCTGTCTTTCATACGCCCCTCTCGGAGTGCAGATACTTGCCCGTGAGCATTGGAGCCATATTGGCGTGGCCCGAAGACCGGCCTTACCCTTTAGGCTGCCTATTATTCTGTCATTCTCACATTTAGCAGCCTCTACCTCACCCGGAACATCGGTCCTCGCCGGGTATTCTGCTGCATTTTTGTGATTATCAATGCGTCTCATGCGAATCTGGGACCTAACTTTTTAGTGGAATTTCGTCTCCTGGTCTGCTGGCTTTAATAACTGTTCTACCGCACGAGTAGTCTTTTTATCTGCGCCTAGACACCTACAGCTTATCGGTTCTGGATGCGGTGATTGGTTGCCATTATCGAGGGATCGTCCTCCAACCAGCAGTTTCGCAGTGGTGAGTTTCAACACGACGACGTAAAGGTACGCACTGAGTGGGTTTTCCTGGATGTGTCCAGCAACTAAATGTTTGCGGGAGTGCTTTAAGAAAGGTAGGCATTGCTGATGGCTTTGATTTATTCGCGAAAAATCGTGTTTTCGAGGCCGGAGTGTCGGTGGTCAAGCCCGTGTGGATTATGACCCAAGTTTATGGTACCCGAACCTGGAAGCCAAATTTGTTCTACCGACTTGTTCATAGATGCGTAGAAACTGGATATAAGGCGGTTGCTATCTCTGACGATGGACTCCTGTAGGACTTCGACAACTCAGACTAATAAAACTATGATTCCGACGATCGACACAACTTCTTCTCAATCTATACACGTATCTGGGATGTTGACCTTTGCCTTGGTTCGTTTATCAGACGCCCGAAAGCCTTAACCATTTCTAGTAAATTGCAAGCAGAGGGGGCGTAGATTTCGAGCTCTAAATATTAGTTTCGCAATGGCCTGATCCCCTTAAGACAACGCTTTTACGCTCTACCAACCTCCAGGGAAACGGTTGATATTAGGAACAAAATAAATCGGTACCACAAATCGAAGATCAGATATGAGAGACGCGGTAAGTGCATTTGAAATGTGCTATAGCTGGGGGCCGCCCTACAGGACAAAGTGTGCTCAGTCGTCCAATCAATATGTGACGGAGAATGGCAATCAGTAGTATTCGCAAGCCTTAGGACTTTCATTGATAACCAACAATGGCCCGTGCGTTCAAAATGGTGGGAAACAAAGTAGAATGGTACGATTGACGTCGTTTTCACTTGCTTTCTGTTGTTTCTGGGGACATGAACCTGCTTCGGTGAGTTGGGCTATTCCCAATACTCACTGTTCTGTAGTTGCGCTGATTGCTACTCTGACTCCAGATCCTAAGGTTCATATCACGTTGGGATCATCAATATCGCACTGGGTTGATTTAATAGGTTAAACGCTTGCCACTGCCACCTTCAGGCCCGATTCCATGCGAAGAAAAAGAGAGCGAGAGACGGCAGGTAGGAGGAGTAGGTTATTCTTTAAAAAGTCGTGAATAGATAGGAGGAAGTTGACTGCTGGACTAGTGCACATCCGCCCGCCAGGGGGTCGGGTCTCATGCGAATCTGGGCCCTCACTTTTCAGTGGGATTTCATCTCCTGGTCTGCCGACTTTTCTACCGCAGGACTAGTCTATTTATCTGCGCCATGCCACCCTTTGTTACACCTCCCACAGCTAATCGGTTCTGGGTGC